GTGACAGACATCGAAAATTATGGCTTCGTCGCACCGCATTTTAATTAAATTATGGGCATAGAAGGTTTGGATTATAAATTTGCCTTCTTATGAATGTGAGGACGTGTATTTGCAAGTGGTGCCTCTACCAAAAATTGTAAGGTCAGAGGTTTAAGAGGAGCATATTAAAAAGGAAAACATAATTTGACGTTTGGTAAAATGGTTCAGACACTTCAAATAATTTTTTATCGTAAATAAAAAAAATCCGTGACCAACAACAAGGGGGCTCCCATTTTTTAACGGACTTTTTTCTCCGTGTAAGCAGAATTTTAACTAAACTACTGATCTACCGCTTGCAGATTGGCCTTGACGTGACGATTCTGCGGGGCTCTAGCTGTCGTGAAGATAGCGACGCGCGGAAACTTAAGCGACGAGACAAAAGTGTGCCAGATTTAAACAAAACTGGAAGGGAGGAAGCCAGGTTAGCAGGCAGTAGCAGCACAACAAAGAAGGGCAGAGCAGGAAAGGAGTATTTACATCGAGGTCATATCATTGAGGGCAAGATCCAGCTCCTCACTCACAGACTTGTATTTCAGTTTCTGAGCATAGACCTCGTCTACAGGGGAGATCAGACGCACAAAGCAGGGCATGGAAGGAACAACATAAGAAGAGATGCAGAAAAATAAATTAAACCTATAGGAAAAACAGCAGATAATCAATAAGGGAGAAACAGCATGAGGGGATAAGTGAGGGGATAAGCGAGGAAAGCTCCTCTGCTCCCCTGAAATCAAACACAAGGTTGGTGTAGATCGGTGTTCTTCATTGCAAGGCCCACGGGACACTGGCGGTCCCTGGTGGACTATAGTGCGGCCCCCCGACAACACACACGGAGTGAAAACACACCCCCCCCCCCCCATCGTGCTGCTGTCAAACCCCCAATTGTTTCCAATGTGTGGCGGCCCTCACACGGATGTCTTATCGGCAAAAGTGCCCTCCTCCCTCTGAAAATTAGCGAAGAACACTGGAGTAGACACACACACGCGAATACTCGTGCCGAAGTTGTAGTACAATTTAAATTCGTAATGCGGAGATATCTGGGTTTGAGATTTACCCACAATAAAGTTTAGTGTGAGAGGGAGTCGTGAAAGCAACCAATGAGCGGAAGCGTAAGAGAAGTAAGGGGTGTAAATGTTAACTGGCCAATGTTCGAAGCTGAAAATTTAATTACTTTTGCGCAAAAAGCTAGCGCATGTGTTCTTAAAAGGTGACAAATCTTCACCCGCAGCCCAAATTGTTTTTCTTCCTAAAAGTATATTGATAAATCCCAGTCCAAAGAGTGCTGATGTGGCACAACTTTTTTGGCCAGCAATGGACAAATATTTTGCCACTACTGAAAGGAACCACTGTTCCCCCCAGAAAAGCATTCTAAATTGACCTATTGCTAAAATTGTTGTAGCAACTAGACAAGCTTGCGATGAGGATTGCCAAACACTTGGCATTAGAGCGTTGTTAAAAAACTGGGCGTGCAAAACAGTGGCCGGGATTGTGTTAGGGACACGGGGCCATTGTAACAAGGGGGGGCGGGGGTTGGGTGCGTAAACCCAACCCCAAGGACCTTCAACAAACGCATCACCCACTTCAAGCCAGTGCTTCCTGCCAGAAAAAATGCGGCTCTTGTCAACGGCATTCTCACACGGCAGACCTGGTAGTGGGCTGCTCGCGAGAGCGAGTCACCAAGCCTGAATTTCTCCTGCATTATCACGGGCTGCAAAAACTCTGTTATACAGAAGGGTCACAACACTTTCAACAACTTCAAAGTTTGTTAAAATTGTTGCAAGGTTTGGTTTCCTCCTCAATTATGTTCAAACGTGCTATCGGTATAACATTAGGAGATTGAGAACTTTGTAATTAGGAAGCTCAGACTTCAGAACTATTTTTGATATTTATACAAATTTGGTCTTTATTCACCATGTGGTGGTGCGCCTCACGTCGGCAGCGTGTTACGCAGCAATCAAAACTACCAGCTGGGAGGACAAGTCAAAGTAAGTGAGAACTAAACGTAACGCGGTTGTTTCTGTGCGGTTATTAGTCACTAAAAATGTTGACTACCAACCGAAATCTAGATTCAAACTCAGGATCTCAACGGTGCTGGCTCCGTGCGTGACACAGAAATCAGCCCTCTACTCCACCTTGGCTACCTAACCCGGATGTAAAATAGTAATCATTTCATAATATTATTTTTAGAATATTTTAGAGTATTTGGCTGACATAAATTCCCATGTGATGATCAGCTACTTCATTGGGCAATCTTTTATGGCCAGGTCACCTGAAATAGTTGCTCAATAGCTGAGTGGGCCTTACCTCCCCCTGCTGTGTTTGTTTCACACCCGATGACGGTTGCTTGTGTTGTGACCGAAACGTCGTGATCTATTATATATTTTCTAGCCATGTGACTTTACCGAAAGAACAAAAGAATATAAAATTACAAAGTTTTTTTCTCTTCCAATAATTCATTACAATTAGATCCCCCCCCCCCAATGGTGTCCGATCAGTGTTGTACACCTTGGTTCAAAATTACTGTATTTAAATATTGTTTTACAACACGGTGTGACAAATTCTTAGGACACACACAACGTAAAGATTATTTGTAAGGCAAAGTTTGGGTGTCATGCTGAAATTTATGTTGGGAGTGAAAAAGATAACGTAGGTTTTTTTGAGCTGCCTCCATAGAACAATCCCTATGCTTGATCCTTGCTACTGCACCACAAGAGCAAGGCACGCACACAGGCATGCCCCCCCCCCCCCCACCACGTACGGTCGCTAAGTGGGTGCAGGTTTACGAAAGGTTGCTGCTGGGAGTCGAGGCCACGTTGACAAAAACATTTTCCATGAGCTCTCTGATGAGCGAGCATCAAGCCACTGGGCACCTGTTTTCCCTTACGCTTTAGATCACCACCATACATTTTAAGTGCCACGCTGATGAAAACAACACCTCGCGCACAACCTTCAACTTCTTAGATGAAATGTTAGCGTTAACCCCTCCCGCATGGTCAACTGGAATAGTGCAATAATCCTCACTTAAAAAACGACTGCCTTGAACATTAGCACCAGCTTAAAACGGAAATAAGAGGTTTGCAAACATCTTTCTCAATGGTTCTTTCGAACTACAATTAATCATACATATCCAAAATGGTAACATCAGCTGTTCACAGGGTGCCTCATTTCTCTCCTGCTACTATTTTCAATCTTTGTCAAGTCACTTTAGTTTCACTCAAAAATGATCAGTGATTTTCCAGACCGAGCCAATGTTGAAAATTCAAAATTCCATTGTCGGCGGTGGTTATATCCATGAGACAACCACTTTACTTCGCCCACAAAGTGGTATTCATTTTATCGAAGCCAGAAGGGTGGACGGGCCGAGTTGACTCCCAACTCACATTCTTCCGACTGCGAGCCGAGCACCCCCCCCCCGTCCTCTCCCGCTCACCCATCTAGACCGAATTAGCTTCACTCAACATTTAAGAGTTTTTTTTATTGGCTGCTGTTATTTTGGCAACTCAGTAACCCATCTGAGTGCAATTGTCTGCTGTGGACAAGAACTGTGGCGGGTGATACCTGAAGGGATCCTGATCTCACCAAATCTGCGCAAGGCAGGAGGGAGGGTAAGCTGCTGGATGTGGCATGAGTACGAGCCAATGTTGGCTTCAATGTACTAATAAACCGAGCAGGCATCGACTTCCTTCTGCTTATAATTCCCACCTTAGATTACAACGAAGCTGTCCTCGAAGATCCACTCGCATGTACCCATTTGCGGAAATCCTTTGTACCCTGATCATTTTTTCCCATGTCCATCTCAGTGATATAAATTACAAAAAAAATCACAAGGGTACCATTTTTTTACTTTTGTTAGTGTTTTGGTTAAAACTATAAAAACTGTAAAAACTTTAAAACTCGTTGTTCTAGAGGACATGTGTAGCTTTAATTTGATAACAAAATTGTGGGTGTGGGGCCTGTGTGACTAGAGGAAATGGATAAAATGCCTCGTGGGAACTGAAATTATTATGTTTCCAACTACGGAAGAAAGTACAAAGCAGTGTTGCTACAACTCTCCTCAAATATCACAGCCCCTTGGGGATGTTCAATCACCCAGTGAAACTTACACGCTGTATCTCACACATGTGCCCTCCTCAGCTCATCTTGCTATGCATTCCCGGTTGTTCGCACTATGCCATGCGGCCAACACAAGTGCGCGGGGGCCCAATACCTCGCGTACTATTCCACTAAAACGCATTTCAGAAACCGGAACCACACTATTCTCCGAGGTCTTCTCGTCCAACAGACTGCACCACACATTACTACTTTACTTTCACCCCTGCGTGAGGGCATTAACCTCGCAAAAACTCTCAACCAAGGAGAGGAGACTTTGGCACACGATCAAGCTAAGTGGCAATGGGTAGGCGTGAAGAGACACGGTGCTATATTTAAGCACCAGAGGCCACGTGTTGCACACGGTGGCAAAACTGAGGAGACAAGTCCCCTCAGGAGGCATCAGCTGCGGGAAAAGTTACACGCAAGCAGGGACGCCGCTGTGGAACAATAAAAACGGACTGCGACGTAAATCACCGATCTTGCTGATCTTAGCCAACCAAATGAAGTGAGGGCGTGGTTACATCATGACTCGATCTCTGGATCGATTGGAAATAAGTCGACAGCAATTAACCCGGTATTTTTTAATGTTTGTTTATTATAGATCGACCTGAGCGGAATCGATGCAATTAAGCTCGATTAACGATCCAAAATACCATAAATGGGCAAAGACACGTGCTTTCGGCCAAGGCCACACCTACTTTCTTTCATGTATGAGCAAATCTCAAATCGGCGATTTCGTCGGGTGTACAATTTTATCGTATTACAGCGACACAAACGGATTTCAATTTTGGCTGCTTGGTTAACACTTGAATTAACTCTTTTCCTGGTATCCTCCGACAAAACCCGTTGTATGTGAGGAATGGAACTCTTACCTTCCAGGTCGTCAATGCTCTTCTCCAGCTTGGCTACCGAACGCTCGGCAAACTCGGCACGGGTCTCAGCCTAGATGTGGTCGACAAGGGAGACATGAACGTGTGTGCCAGGTGAAACACATAAATAGCTGGGCCAAATCCAAGCGACATTAACGCTTCACCCCAAACAACCTTTGTCTGCCCACCCCCCCTCTAAGACTACAACAGTTCCAAAACGTTAAACAATCTATGGAAATGTTATATTTATAATTACACGTTTATAAAAAGAAATCGGCCAAATAAACTCATGTAAGACCCATCTTCTTGGTTTTTTCGGTAAAGTCACGTAGAAGGGAAGTAATAAAAATAAAACATAACAAAATAATTCTCACGACGTTTCGGCTACAACGCAAGCAGCCGTCTTGCGTTGTAGCCGAAACGTCGTGAGAATTATTTCATTATGTTTTATTTTTATTATTTTATTACTTCCCTTCTACGTGACTTTACCGAAAAAACCAAGAAGATGAATCCCTGCAGTCACGAAAGCTTTAAATCGAAATCATGTAAGACCCTTCCAAAAAAGTATCTTAAAACTTAAGAGCTTCCGACAAACCATAGTTACAGTACTGCCCACTACGTTAACGAACCGGCATTGATACGAGAATAATAAAGTTACATTTCATTTTCATACTCAATAAACACGGATCAAAATGTATAACCGAGTAACAGGGCATTCGGGTTTTCCCCCCCCCCCAAGTACCTTTCATAATGGACAGATTCAATATGTACCTTGAACCCAAATAAACACGCAGGGTATTCTTCAAATATAGTTCTGTGTAAATATTTTAGATAGTCACCATGCCTACTGAATGAAAGAAAGCAGCTGATATGTACCTTGCAAACGTTCAGTTTAGCAACAGAAAGTCAACTACACATAGCCAACATACAATATTCGGCAGTTCGGTACAAAGTTTGACAGCACAGACCAATCGTCGTATAACTTTGGTGCGACAACTTTACAAACCTCCTTCAGCTTGTCAGTAAGAATTTTAATTTCTTCTTCATATTTGTCCTCCTTTTGCGAATACTGTTAAGGAAATGAGATCCACAGAAGAAGAATTAATTTGAACCGCAAGGCAAGCCCACCTGCAAAATTACATTTTCATTCAACTCTTTCACATGTGGATAGAATCGTACAAGTACAGTCAGATGAGGAAAGGACAGAATGAGAAAGGACAGCGAGAGAAAATGTAAGATTGGCATATCTAAAACAATAAAAATATGTTTTTTATATTATTGGACCACCTATTTATATTCCAATTGTCTTATTGGACAAGTATTGACTAGTGGTAAAAAATAATTGTCTTTCTGGAACTCCCAGTCCGCAGATCCTCATGGGAATCCGGCAACAGCCCCAGGTGACACCACAGAACCACTCCGGGAGTCAATTTAATAGGCTGCTCCCTTACCCAACTCTACAGTGCTCTGCAAAGGCCTTTTGACCACCAGTCAGTCATTCACTACATTCTGCAATGTACGACAGAGAGCTGGGCGATTCAGGTAGCCAATTGGTAACTGGGCAGGAACTATTAATTGAAACCTACGTGTTGTCTTCGGTAGACACCTATAAAATGCAAAAAACATTCTTCAATAACACTGTTCTAAAAAAAAAAGCACACATTTTACTATCAAGGGCCATTACGTGAAACGTAGCCTATTACATGCTTTTCCTTTTAGGGTAGCGTTAATGACAATTGTGTTCAAGATAAGGTCATTATCCTGAGAGACGCCCGTCTAGAAAAAGTCAAACACCTATTACCGGGACTTAGCGGCATAAGGATGCCTTCACACAGCAGCAGATTAATAAAGGGGCTGCAAATGTCAATTGCTTTGCATTTAATGCACGCCTCTGCCAATTCCGAAAATCGAACAAACCTCAAAAAGGCCACCACCTTCTCTCGGGCCTTGGCCCACCGCTTAAGGCACCGCTCGGCAGGGTTCAACGGAATTCTGTCCGGGAGAAGCCGATCCCCCACCCTACCTTGTCTGACTGCGCCTCAAGAGACTTGAGGTTGTTGGTGACAACTTTGAGCTCCTCCTCCAGCTCGGAGCACTTGCTGCTCGCGGCGAGATCGATGAGGAGGAGCAGGAGGAGCAGCGAGCAGGAGGAGCAGCGGTTTGTCGCAGTTGCAACAGAGGATGACAAATGCGGAAATGAGAAAGAAAAATGTGAAAAAGGAAATTGGCAAGAGAGGGGGGGGCAGGGCAGGGCAGGCCAGGGCAGCATGTACTCTGGCTAAGAAGGGAAAGGGAAGCACGGCGGGTGATCGTCTTAGGAACCATCAATAAACGTGACAAGCCAGCATCTCCTTTCTAAAGAGCCAACCCCTCGTGAGCTCAAATGGTGATAATTCAACAGTTAAAGACACTTGTGCTCGTGACAATTTAAAGCAATTTGGATGCGTCGGGTGGAAGTGTCTAAAACTACACAAATTTGGCTAGACCATTATGACGCGGCCCAACCTAAAATTCAATTGTGGAGCAACGCTCATCTCCACTGGCAGCTCTTTCAGTGATAGAATTTCCACGTGTGGCAGTGACCAGCCTATCCACACGATGACCACTGTTCATTATGTGCCTGCGCTGTTGCCCGTTTCATTTACAAAGCCGTAAAAGGGCAGCGAGCGAGCTGACCAACCCCTGATCAGGATTTGAAGTTGCAACCTTGCGATTGCAAGCGGAGTACTCTTGACAATAGCACCACACAGATTAAGTGAGAGAGCGAGGCTCTTATTATTATATACAAACAATATTATCCAAATATTTTAACCGTCTGGACTAAGCGATTGTCACCGTGCAACCGTTTCAGCAGCAAAACAGGAGAGAGTTTTAGATTGAGGCAAAGCAAACCTGCCAACTGAAAACGTAGCTGCAACAAGGCGAGTGCAAGGTTGTATTTTTTTTCCCCCACAAGAATCGAAAGTTTTCTTGTCAGTCTTAAAATTTCGAAGAGGCCAAGTGTTCCTGCTGAGGGAGTCAAATAAACTCAGAGGGTTTCCTGCTCAAGGGAGTTGGAGGGAGGTGCTGCTCTCCTGAACTAGCGGTGTAAATTACACCTTCCCGTGATGGGGAGGAGTCAATCCACAGGGAGGGGAGGAACAGAAAGCTGAGGAATTGGCAATGAAATGTAGTAATTCCTATGGGTGCTTTAGTCTGGAACTGTGATGCTTAGGAATTAGAAGTGAACTCTTAAAGTGCCCACCTCCCCCCACAGTCTGGGCGAGAGCTTTGAAAATGAGCACAAAACCATAAAATCCTGAGGATGTATTTGGCTCTGGAATATTATTCTTCCTTGACCAAACATCTATGAAGAATAAGAGTATTACTGTATAACATTCACACAATGTATTTCTGACTCAACATCTTCTAACAAAACGAATTAGTCCAAGGGTCAAGACAATGTAATTACTTGTCGGAACCACCACCTGAGATGGCCAAGCCTGACATATAACACTCTTTAAAATGCCACTAAAAGGTGAATAACCCTGCTTGCACAATCCATATTAATTATCCAAATTGAAAATAAAACCAGTAATCCGAACATGTCACACCTAGAGGTACCAAATTCTACTATGGCACATGGACAACACGCACGACCAATATCAGAAAACTGAGATATATCACTTGAAGGACCGAGAAAGCTCGGTCAAAATAGGTACAGTTGGCAGCTGTGCAAATACACCCCGAACGGTCCAGAAAAATAAACACCGCAGCACAGGGCAGAAGACACAGAAAGGCTCCCTCCGTAAGGTGTCGGAGGACAACATGGACACGCAAAGCTGCAGGAGTAGTGAGGGGGAAAAAATGGCAGGAGGAATTGCGATGAGAAACGAGGGCCTTCATTCAACGCTCACGGTTCCACTTGCACATTCGAGTCGTGCCACCACAGGGCAGGAGTCAGCAAGGCACGGGTGGTTTTCCCCACGAATTTAACCGAGCCAAGAATCGAGTGGGCACTTTGCTGGCCTCTAGCTAGGGATCCAAAACACGTCAGGGTGTGCGGCTCCCGACGCGAGTCGGCGCTCGCCGAACGCAGAGGTCACCGCGTCATCTTCGTGTATATTAACATTGCGCGCATTACGAGTCACGTCAGCAGCATGGCTCGGCTTGTGACAGTGGGGGGAAAAAAAACGTGCCGTCTGACCCAACACGGCTCCGTTGTGCCAGTGGAAAATAGAAATTAAGATAGGTTTAATCATTGCACTTGTATTTAAGTGATGATACCTCCTCCTCAGAAGCCATGAGGCCCTTCAAGTGCTGATCCTGAATTCTTAGCTGCTCCTCCAGCTGCCTGACTTGGCTGTTAGTATCACAGTGAGGGGTCGGGGCAGCAATCAAATCGGCATGCAACAAATAACAAACTCCGTTAGTTTTGGGGTAAAAACACACGCGTGTGAATTAAAACCAACAAAACTGCAAACCAAAGGAATACATTTTAAACGGATTAGTAGAAAATAACGATGAGCTTTAAACGGTGTTCACTGCAAACAGAAAATAAATTTAAACTCTTCGACTTGTATTAACAGTTAGACATTGCAAAAGAGACCAGCAACACCCCTTATATGCTCACATTGGCACTGAGCAGCAGAAATCTTGAATAACAGTCCTGAGCCAGGTCTTGGAAATTCAATAGCTCTGTCACTGGGATGGGACACTGATGGAACCAACCAAGTTGTGGGTGATCATTTTACACACCCAGGAGAGATGAGTAAAGTTGACCCTGACCAGGATTTTATCTCATTAAATAATGAAATGGCAATATTTCTGATAACACCGAATGAGCACTATATATAGGCCAAAACAAATTGCAGGTTTGATACATCTTAAATATTTTAATAGTTTCTAAATTAGTTTCTTAATTTTAAAGTAAATCAATTGATTAAAATGAAAAGCAAAACTAGTTTAATTGTGAAACTTAGACCTAGACTTAAACGAAATCCTGACATTTGAATTTCAACAATTTCACTCAACCAAATGAAAATAATTCTATGCTGTAACCGATTAGTCTTGAAAACATGCAAGGGTTTTAATTTGCTTTTATTTACTATAGAACAAAAATAACAACGTGGGTGCAATCTCCACATGGAGCAAACATTTGGCCATTCGTGCAGAAACAAAAATGGAGCAAATCGAGTGTCACAAATGATGACTCACGCGTCGGCAACTTCGGCACGTTCCTCTGTCCGCTCGAGGTCTCCCTCAAGAATGACGAGTTTACGTGCCACCTGGAGGACGGAGCGGAGAGGGAGGGAGAAGAGGCACCGGCGGGCATGACAAGGGGAGACAGGCGAGGGGCGAAGAAAAATTTTGTTAAACCTCTTCACCACGTTTGATGGGAAAACCAACAAGGAAAGTGATAGTATTTTCACAAGCCCCGCTTCTCTTAAGCAGTAGGTGCAATAACGGAGCCTTTTTGAAATGGAAATGTCCCAATAAAACGTATGTGTAGCAGAGATACTTTACATCCATTAGCTTTACTTGTAGTGTCCATCTCAAACTAGATTCAAAGCTTTTGTGACTGCAGGAACACTCTTTGGTTATTTCGGTAAAGTCACGTAGAAAATGAAATAATAATAGAATACGACGTTTCGATTGCAACACAAGCAACCCTCATCAGGTAAGAATGAGTGATAAAACAGACACGGAAACAACATAGGCAGACACACATGCAGTGAGACAGAGTCACACCTATGTTGTTTCCGTGTCTGTGTTTTATCACTCATTCTTACCTGATGATGGTTTGCTTATGGAGCAATCGAAACGTCGTATTCTATTATTATTTGAGTAATGTCCATATACTTTTCGAAACAATGAGTCCCAAATGTATTAATTTAAGCAAGGAATGTTTTCCATCTTAACGATGTTGCAGACAAATGTAACAAGGAATGAACAGCCACTCAATATTAAAGTTAATTGTAAACCCAGCAACTGCTTAAGTGGACTTTATTTTCCCTCATCCACATGCCCCAAATGCAGTACACAATGCCAACACTAACATCAGGACACAACCTAACATTGTGATGCTCTTACAAAGTGTGCCATCAGTAAATCAGTTATTTACCAAGCCAATGTGGACATTTTTTTGTATTTAATATCTCGGTCTTGTCAACATCTGCATGGCATCACTAGCAGCTGCAATGTGGATAATGCAAATCGTTTGCATCAATCCTCATGTTTGAATTTGTCCTTGCACGATGAAAACTTGCCACTGCTCGTGTCATCCGTGATCTCAGGCAGGTCGAAAGTGGACAGGGAAGTAGCAAGTGGCTAAAGAAGACCTCACCTCCTCATACTTGCGGTCGGACTCCTCGGCGATGTGCTTGGCTTCCTTCAGTTGGATCTCCTGCAGTTCCATTTTCTCCTCATCCTTGGAAGCCCTGTTCTCTATCACCTTCATGCCTCTGTGGGACAGGACACACATCCGACCGTGTCCGTCCAGTTCCTTGCCAAGCTGCATTGGCTACCGACTGCCGAACGAAAACATATTGTCGTACTAATGACACAAAGTGGAAACCACAAATTAATCACAATACCTCGGCTGATCTCATCAAGAAGCATAAACCATCAGGCGGACTACGGTCATCCTCGCAGCAGCAGCAGCAGCTTTTGGTTAGCCATCGAACAAAGATGGTCACCACATCACACGCTTTCACTTGCACTTCTACGACCATCTGGAATGCTCTTCCTTTAGATATTAGGAAGCCATCGTGAGTTATGCACTTTCAAATCATCGAGATTGAAAACTAATTTCTTTAGAACAGCTTTTTGGGTTTAGTTTGTTGTCTACCCCCTGGAACCTCCAATCAGCACGGTGGGCTACGTACAGTGAGAAAGTTCTACATACATACAAACACCACGTCGCCAGCATCGGTGCGCTTTGGGTGTTGGTTAAATCTGGAGGTGTCCCATTTTAAAACGACCCGTGGATAGACTCCATACAAATATGTATTGCACTGAAACTAAACTATATATATAAAAGGGCAATTTGTGAATATGTGTGTCTGTTCGAAATGTTTAGCATTCTTCCCAACATGCAACGAACTTTAAATTTGGCATGTAGGTAGCTTCCAGACTGTACACAATGCAAAAAGTATAAAAATAGACTTTTGTATTTTGGGGTGGGGGGGGGGGGCGCAATAATGGACATATTTTTCACGGCGAGTGGTGACGTCACATCTGTGATGTCACCCACATGCGGCAGCATCACGCGGTGCGCCTGCTGACGTCACGCATCCCCCCCCACCCTCCGCGTAGGCTGTGTATTAATCCAAGACAAGAATCCAAGTCTCAGGCGAAGCCGGGTAGTAAAGCTCGTGACTAATACTTCAGACAGTTAATTAATGGCAGACAACATGACAAGGAACGCATCTCCATTTCGGCAATAATTAATGAGAGCTCAAGTTCCATCATCAATGCAAGAGTTTGCATTGTAATGCGAATACTCAGAGGAAGCAAAGGAGGTTAAGATGACGGTCTCCTTCATACATCTGTACTTTAAAAAAAAATCATCCCTGGGGATGATGGGTTGTGTCAAACACATTTTTATGCAAAGACATACATGAAGGAGACGTAGGTTCTGCTTATCTATTTAGTTATTTATATTCTCGAAAATTACAATTTAAATGAATGATTAGCTGTATTGATGTCGCATTACTTTTTAACCCCCACCCATGGAGGGGGAATTGATTTGTTTCAACTCGTCAAAACTAGGAATAAAACAAGACTGTATACTTACACACATTTATAAAGTGGTCTAGTGTGCTGCACACATGATTTAAGTTCTATAGGGAAAGAAAACCACCTCGTGATATGAACACCACATGTAGGTCAACGATAGAGAGTCAGTGTCTGTTCAAGTGAGTGTTAGGCAGTGCCCATTTCTGATGAGGGCCAGTGGTGAAAATTGCACATTCCTTTGGAAGAGGCCAGTCTCCCTACAGGATCAGGATCACCACTACAAATAACCCACAAATTGGTGTCACACACATCAAATCTAAACCAGAGAAGTGATAAACCAGAGTCTTTCCCCGAACGAAAGTTGAACTCCAACTTTACGATCACGGGTTAAGCGCCAACTCCCGGCATCATCCGGCCAGATGGCGGAAAATGTAAATTCGACGAGAAACTACAACAACGCAGGCAATCGCACAATGCCTCACCACACACACTAGGCCCCCCCCCACCCCCACAGTCCGTAGCCAACCGTGCTAAAGCGGAGGTGCACGACTGCCCCGACGTTCCTTAACGTATCTCACCTCTCGCTCTCATCAGCCGCCTTCTCGGCCTCCTCGAGCTTCTGGAGAGCGGTGGAGAGACGCTCCTGGGCCCTGTCCAACTCCTCCTCCACCAGCTGGATGCGCCTGTTCAGCGACGCCACATCAGCCTCGGCCTGCAAGGAGGAACAGTGCCACAAAAGGGACGGGACAATTATTATAACGAGAAACGTTTCAAATGCTTTGTGCCCAACACACAGAGCAAAGTCAAACTTTCAGAAAATTAACCTCGTTACAATAAAAAAGCATTGAATGATGTAACAGTTAAGTAAACCCAAGAAAACTTGGGTCACAGCAAACCTAGCTGCTGGGCGTGGCTGAGGTGAGGCTGTGGCGAGCGAGTCATCTTCACTCTAATATTGTTTACAAACCTTACTCTACTGAGCAAATATGTTACCTTGCTGTTCAAATACCTTTCTGAATGCCAGGAAACGTTTGAAAAACAGGCATTTGTGAAATGAGGGTCTAATTCAGGGGAGTGGGGGGGGCCCTCCAGTATATCAGTTTTGTAACAAAAACCCGTTGTTTCCACGAAGACCAAATTGAACCCTTTTCAAGTTTGTGATTTTATGTTGGAGTGCTCCACAATTCATATTATACGCAGACAAATATTTTCAACTGCATATTTAAGATGTAATTTAAAACAAATATTAGGAATTGGAGGTGGAAGAGTACTGTTCAATATGTTTTAAAGAGGTATTGTACAGGACTGTGAAAAAAACTGAGACTGCCTGGCATATGCCGTTTCTAAGCCTGCACTGCTTTAAACGCCTTTTTACATCTTTAGTAGTGTCATTTTTAGTTTCTCATTCAAGTTTTAAAACATGCCCCATAAAAAAAAAACATTATAGGCAGGACATGTCATGTCCGTCCACGTTATTTTGGGTACAAACTATATTCTGTTAGGTTACTGAAGCTTCTGCACCTGCAAGTTAAATCAGTGCCCAGGGACAGGTCATTAAGGTTGGGATTAAGGTCACAACTCCCCATAGCAGGGGTCGGGAACCTGCAAGCTCGAGCCGTACCGCTTCGTGATGTTATTGATTAAGGACCGTCTTCCGATATACACGAGCATTTCAGTTCTTAAAATGTTTTTACCGAATACGAATGAAATGTCTCTTGTTAGTTTGGTTGTCGACCTCTGCCCCATACCAATCAATGAGTCAGATCATTCAGATAAACAATGAATGGTTGCCCCGTTTTTATCCGAGATAAGGCTGCGAGGTAAGCATATGACTGGTTTATAACCAATCACGCCAACATTCCAGACAGGAGTTAAATAATAAAAGTAACGCTCATTCAGAACAAGCACAAATACAATACGGTTCTCACATGACAAAGTTGAACTCAAGTGACTCTCCCTGCTCGAACAAGTAATGGGATGGAACTCACTGCTTAAATAATGGTTTTGAGTCATTGTTGGAAATTACACATTCCCATGGTAAGGGTCAGTATTTCGATAGGATGTTCACCATTTACGCACAAAAATTAAGTTATTTGCATCAACACCAGAGCGATGGATTTAGCCGACAGGAACCTCCCTTTGCATTCCCCACGTTTAAAATGCGCAAGTGTTTACACGCCGGTTGCGTCAAAGTGTAAACCGATTACATTATCGGAATCCTAGTGGAAACGGCAAGTCATCACATGTTACAGGAAGTGGCAAGGTGCACTACTGCAGCTGAGTGCACACTCGTTTCGCAAGCCGCAGGCAATACAACTCACGTGTTGGGGCATTGAACTAGCATGTTGTGGTGATGTTTTGTAGACTGCAAGTGTTATTTAAAATCCAGACACTTGGTTTAAGGAATTAATTTTTTTTATTACGAGCTGATGCACAGCCATAACATTTTGTTCACCAATTTCCATCGTGTTATACTAAACGTATTACAAACAAACATCAGTGCTAACTTACGATTAGGACAGCAACTGGCAGCAACATCATTGTACTAAAAGTCTTATTTACTACTCCCTCTAATTGACATTAATCCATTACAAAATGCTGCAATATTGCCTATTACATTGCCTATATGTGAATAGTGCGGGGTCTAGGGGGGGGTGGTGATTCAGTTGTCCGAGCACTGTACTCTGAACCTAACAACCTTGGTCAGATTCCTGGCCACAGCCAACAATGGCGTATGTTTATCAAGACTGGTGCCTGCACGTCCTCTTCACAAACACTTTAGTATGGTGAAACCACACCCTTCATCGACCACTGGATTGATTCAGCGCCGTAAATTCGAATTCCAAAGTGTTGCTTCAAAAATAAGCTGTCAAATGGTTTAAAACACAAATCCATTCGACAGTATACACTTGCGCTGCCTGTTTTCTTCTCACACGAAACCCAATTATTCCCTGCAGATCACACGCCAGATGATGTAATGGCAAAATCAGCTTTGCTTTTGAGATGACAAATGAAAAACCAGATAGGCAGGCACCGTAGAGCGCCACGATTAACAAAGAACCACGGAAACTTAATGGATACCAAGGGAACCGGATTACATTTTGGGGAGCGGACGGCCAATCGCTGCCAAGACCAACAGATGTGCCGTTTCCGCTCTGCAAAGAAGTTCCAGCGATTGTTTGAGCACCGTCTGCACGGACCATCAAGGGACACTCCCACCTCGCAGCAAAAACTGCAACGAACCGACCCCGCCGCCCGCCCCTCCCTAGCCACCGAGCACCATATATGGCCATGAAATGCTCCGTGCTCGACACAGGAGCCGCGTCAACTGGAATCCGGCCCGAACTTCGGGCACGCCCGCTCACAAAGAGCTTGTGTGGCATGGGGCCTGCTCAGCCCACGGAACACTGCACAGCGTGCGAGCCTCTCCCAGGCAAGGGGCCCTTCCCCACTCGTTGCACAGTACAACCAGACCATTTGGCCTCAAGCACAATCCTTTACAAAAAGTTTGAGTTTTTTTTCTCCCCGATGATTTAAAGGCTAATCTATAACAGGCCTTACGAATGAAATCGGTTAAGAAGCTGTGCCGACTTTTTAAACGGGTCATTCCCTATGAAACAAAAAACAGACAGTTCACCAGCATTGCTTGAAGCAAACCTAACTGCTGATGAGGCAATGAATGTCAAAACCCAGTCCAGAGTTTGTATTTAATCAATGCTGCCAATAGCATGCACTTGCAAGCAGGCGATGTGGTTAATGGGTTGTGTAAATAAAACACTTTCTTGTGTGGAGACACAAACATGGGAAACAGGCGTTATTTATTTTGTTTCTGGTAGGCTATAGCAAGCAAACAAAAAAAGAAATGCTTGTTTCCCCCACTGTACTTTGCCCAACATTGACAGATTTTGTTAAAGCCAGACCGTGCAACTATAAGCAACTACCCAGACTATACAACTATATAGCTTTTTTAAGAAGCGACCTGGCCACAAATGATGGCTCAATGAAGTGGCTTATCATGTGGAAATTTAAAGCAACCAAATACTCTAAATGCATGTTAATTCTAATTTGAGTAAAAAAACCAGAGGACACTAAGAAAAATCCACGCAACCATGGGGGAAAAATGCAAACCCCAAATATACAGGCATCAGGGTTGGGATCGAACCCAAAACCTCCTATATACCAGGCAAGGTAGTCAACATCTCACCACCGTGGTGACTGGTAAAGCCTTCATTCCTTGTTGGGTTGAGAATGGCTGGAATGCTGTCAAGTTTAATTTTAACAACAAAAAATCATCCATTTCCTATTAACATACATTTGTTGTGCATTTGGCACTAATATAAAGCTTGCGGTAAAGCGTTTGGGAATCATGCACAGGACACACGACAACTGCGGTGACCCTTGACACAGTGGAGGGTCTGAGGAGAGAATAAATTTGTGTTGGAAAAAAGCAATGGAGTGGTATCCATAAGTCCGCAAACAATGGGAACACCTAAAGCCAGCCTGGGATATTGTAAGAATAGGAGACCTTGGAGGTCAGATGTTAGCCACACATAAAGCTTTGGTTTTTGTAGCAGCAGGAAGGAAATTATGGGACACATGGGGTCGGGGTTTTTAACAGCACTGGCAGAGATGTCTTTGTGAAGTTCGTCTTGACCGGGAAGCAGTATTTTGTGACCGTTACCAAGTGTGCAGAACTGCTCGACAGGCGCACGTGCGTGTATGACACGGAAGAATGGTTCACATTTGCGTTAACATGTGGTGCAGACGCTATATATTTTATTCCAATGTGGAGATCTCTAGTGAGCCATTTCCGTTGCACATGCCTTAAGCATGAGCACGAGGCATCCCCCACTCCGCAGCCTCACATCCTGCCCAGTAACACACCCACGCGCATGTAGACACCCGCACTGCAAACTTCCTCAATGAAATTGTATGAGAGCCTTCATTAGCTGTGGTTAGGTTCCCACACTCGCTGTAAATCTAACACTACAATTTTGTCTTGGGAAAACAACTAAACAAATTGGTGCTTTGTCTATACAATGTGCAGTATAGCTGGACAATCCTCACTTAATTAGCCTTGAATCTTGATTCCTTAGACTCAAATACTACTTCTAAACGGATCATAATGGGAGATGCCCATGTAATACTCGTCGATACCAAACCGGTTTGAATTATCACCGACCCCGGCCTCAACCAAAATCGCCATAAAAAATGACCAATTCCTAGTGTGCGGAACTGTACCAATTCACCCTCAGGGAAAATGGTAAGGCCCGTGAGGCTTGCACAACCTAGGTTAAAAGGTCAACCAGAGTTTGGACCAGCCAGTGCCAATGCACCACCAAAATGCCTGTAGTAGATCAGCCTAGGCCACAGATGGCAACTAAGTGTGTGGTCTAGCATATATGCAGGGCAGATATGCGTGTGTATGGAGTCTTGGTTATAGCGGAGCATCTACGTGGGGCAGATAGGTGGACATAAGAGTAATGGATAATATACAATCTGGATACATGGAATCAGCCAGAATTGAGAGTCTGGCAAGCTAGAAATAATAATGAATAATCAAACATAGTAAAAGCTTAACAAAGCTAGAATTGCAATAGAATACAATCCTACTCAATGTCTTAGATCTTACACTGTAGAATCTCTATTAAATAAATAAAAACATTAAAATGAATGTAGATTGTTTTTTACACTAAAATCACTCAATCCTTG